CCCCCCCCCCCCCCCCACACACACACACACATATCCACGCAATGTTGCACAGGCGTGTCAACCAAGACAGCCCTACAACATCCAGTGCCTCAAAAGTTTTAGCTGTTTGCTAAAGAAACAGCTAAAACTTTAAGTGGTAGAACCAAACTAGGCCAAAATGACCAAACAGACAAAGCATGACTTCGTTTTGAAAGAACTGAGGAGATTTCAATATATTTCCATGGAAGTTTTTTTTTTTTTTTGTAAATAAAGTTAAATGTTTTTTAAAAGCAGTAGTTGTTACAAAAAAAAAAAAAAAAAGGTACATAATTTCATCCCCTGACGTTTTGATCCGACTAAAATAACACAAAGTGTCCAGACGCAGTTGATTAAATAAACTTAGGAAAAATTAATGAACCTGAAAACAATCAGCATCCGCGCAATAACGAAATGTTTAGCTCAATCAAAACAACTCCAGCTCCCACAATGCACCGCAACTGGAACATTTGCAGTTCAGAGTTCATACACTACAGTAAAGGTAGGATCTTCGCTGGTGGTTGCTCTGTGTGCTAAACAGAAAAACCAAAGAAGTTGGAGACTAGACATCGCATTACTCGGTTGCCACCGCATCGACAGCCGGCTCAGGAACCCGAAAATGGCCCTCAGCTAATCGGCGCTCTTTCTTTCCCGCTGACGGAGCTACAAACGACGGTTGCCTGGGCGCTAACGTTAGCACGCTAGCTCGCTCAGCTGAGCACATAGCAACCGCTGCTAGCTAACGTCACAGGTGACAGGACGGGCACTCTCAACACCAGCTGCAGCTATGTTCGTGCAGGAGGAGAAAATATTTGCCGGGAAAGTGTTAAAAATACACGTCTGCACCATGGACGGCACGGAGTGGTTGGAGGAGGTCACGGAAGACACCACTGTTGAGAAACTGAAGGAGAAATGCTTGAAACATGTAGGTATTTTGGAGGGGTCGTTACTCTCACAGTGTTTTTTTTGTTTGTTGGTCCTGTCCTGTTAGTCCTGTGCCTGGGGGGTGTTTTGCTGCTGTCATGTCCTCTGTTTAAACTGTCAGCGTCTCTGGCTTCGTATTTATAGTAACTGGGTAGACTTCGCTATTTATAATTTAGCAGGTTGGCTTCCCCTCTCCAGCTTCAGCCTCCAGTCTCACTCTTCTGTCTGCTTGTCAGAGAGGCATACTGTGTCTTAGTCTTTCTATTATTATACAGCTCACCTCTCCTTCTATGGCCCTTAGTGGGAACCCAAGTTGGTCCTTCGAGCTCCATGAGTGCAGGGGATAATAATCCTTTGCAGTTCCTTTATTCTAATTATTCTAAGTCTCATATCAGTTTTCCCAATACTGATCTTAGCTTATCACAATATGCTTAAAATAAAGTCAGAAAAATGACCGTATATAGATTTTAGTTGGTTTAAATTTACAATTTTGTTTAATTTGCTGAAATACTCAATACATGGAACTGTCATTCAAAAGCAATACAACAAATTTTAGCATTTTAAAAATAATTTTTTATCATAGCTAAGCTGTATGTACCTTCTAATATTTTAGTTTTTTTTTTTTTTGTGGAACAAACGGAGTTCACAAATCGTCATACGTGGGCACAGCATTATCATTTAATCTAACAAGATTCAAGTTACATTTGTGCAACGAGTAGTGTTGGAAAAACACAGGTAATTATAATTAGAAACGTGTTTGAGAAACTTTAAACAAAGTAACTGTAATTATTTAAATAAAGTGTGGCATAGTTGTAAGTTTATTAGCAGCTGTTTAAGCTGCAGGATTAAAACAGATTAGCAGGTAAAGAGAATGTTCGTATAGAAAAATGTGGACGTTCATGGACAACGAGCAGTGGATCATCACAGCATCTTTTCGGCGATGAAGAAAAACTTAATTACCACATAAAACCATCTGAAGAAAGCTCACATTGAAGTCTTGTTATAGTCAATTAGTTGCACAAATGAAAGCTGGATGACAGAAACAAAGCACATAAAGGATTTAAAACATCTTCACTACAGCATGGTGATGGTTTAGACATGCACGGCCTCCTTATAGAAGTGTTTACTGATGATGTGACCGAGGTCAGAAACGGCTACTGAGGAGTAGAAACATACTGTGTCTGCTCTGATCCAGCCAAATGTTGAAAATTTGACTTGATGGCGCTTTAATAAGATAGAAAACGCATTTAAACGATCTCCTTAGGAAAATTGGGATTTCACGGTAGCAGATAATAAACATAAATATGCAAATAGAAGTCACAATAGTATATACAGATAAAGCTAATACTTAGGAACATTTTAAAACAGTAAAGTTTCCTGTAACTTTCAGTAGTAAATGAAAAATACTGTTTTAAGAACAGTAATATAAAAAAAAAGGTGGAGCAAACCGAGGTAGAGGTAGTGCAAATGATGGACGAGTGCGCATTAATTATATATTTCACATTTTGTCCCTAGTTGTGAGTGAGAGTGTGAATGTTTTGTTTTTTTAAATCTTGTCTCTATATGTGTCCCTGCGATGGACTTGTGACCTGTCCAGGATGTCCCCCACCTCTCGCACAGCGACTGCTCTATATGGGAACCAGTTCCCCTCGTAACCCAGAAAGGAAGAAGCGAGTAAAGATAATGGATGGATGGACAACTTTAGGCAGAAATTGTCTGACAAGTTTTTCAACAGCCAATTAAAAAATAACGTCTTACTAAAGTTAGTAATTTCTCCAACTAAATTTCAGCCACTCAAAAGGAGATTTGTATTTATGTTAGTAGCTGCTCTGCTTGTTCAACTTCTCCATGCTGGTTGTGAATAACCTCACACGAAAGCCGACAGTCTGCTCTTTAAACTCATGCGTATTATTTGATGCAATAACTAAAACATACAACATTTAGAAATACGTGATTAACTAAATATTTACCTCAAATCTGACTAAATGTTTGATCAGGCAGATTCTACAATAGTGACCATCTTTACTTGCAACTTTTCACACTTGTCAGTTTTGCAAAATGCTAAACTACATCCCTTCAGCATATTTTAGTCGGTCTCAATAATGACTAAGCATGACTGTAAGTTAACATGAAAGTATTAATAGTTTCAGCTGTTTTTGACTTTTTTGAGCTGTTTTGCACTTTCTTTTTTGCAGTGTGTACATGGAAATCTAGAAGACCCTAAAACACTTACTCACCATAAACTTATACATGCTGCTACAGAAAGAGTCCTCATCGACACTAAAACTGTTGCTGATGAAAATCTCAAAGATAAAGGTTTGTATTACGCTATTTAACATGCATTAGATAAAAAAACAATACATTTTATTATTAAAACGTTCTTCATATAAGTCCTGATTTCTGCATCTTTGTAGACGTTTTGCTGCTTATAAAGAAAAGGCCGCCGCCAACCCCTCCAAAGATGGCAGACGTTAGTTCAGATGAAAAAGTAAGCTTGATGTGATGAAGTAAAAACATAAAAGTAGAATAAATATGAAAACTTATCTTGTCATTTTCCCTCCTGTTTGCTTCTTCTAGAAGAAACAAGAGAACAAAGCTCCAGACAAAGACGCTATCCTGAAAGCCACTGCCAGCTTGTCCACGCGGCACACCGACCGCACCGTTACGCAGCACAACATCCGAGATGTGAGGATGTCAGACGCGTCTGTAGCCAGACGTTACCTGTTGATATACGAACATAAATAGTTTTTGAAGCTGCTTTTTGACAACCTTGTATCTTTATGTTTTACAGTTTCAAACAGAGCTTCGGAAAATCCTGGTTTCTCTTATTGAAGTTGCGCAGAAGCTTCTTGCCTTGAACCCTGATGCTGTTGAACTCTTCAAAAAGGCCAATGGTAACATTCAAAAACAGTTACATTTAGTAGAGTATATTTAATACGTTCTTGTAGAGTTAGTCTTAAAATAAAATCCCAAACTGGTGACGGATGGTCAAGATTGAAGCTTAAACTTAAATAAACTGGACCCTTGTACTGAGGGACTTAAAGTCTAATTTGAGACACTTGGTAATTTAAACAACAACAATGTAATCAGATATGAAAAGAACAGGATCCCTCTTAAACAAACAAACGGTACACAAAGTAAATTTCTGTGTACTTGATATGTGATGAATGATTTTCTTCTTGCCATACACTTTTAATTTACACTTCACTTTACGAAAATACATTGTTTGTTTAATTTTCTTCATTATTAACATGGTTCACAAGTGTGGACAGAGAACAAAATAATAATAATAATTTAAAAAATGAAACTATATATTTTTTTATTTACAAATTTGGAGAAACTACCTAAATTTTAAACCATTTATAGAATGTTTTATGTTGAAAATCATATAACGGCAAACAGTTTAACGTTTTGTTTAAAATATATTTTGGTACATCTGATGTAAGTTTGTTCAATTGGTTAAAATGAAGTTCAAAATATTCTAGAGGATAATACAAAATGTTCTTGTATACAGCAGTCCCTCGTTTATCGCTGGGGATCTGTACCCTGAAGCCCCAAGATAAGTGAAAAACCACAAAGTAGGAATAGTAGTTTATTTTATTATTTATATAGATATATATTAAGGCGTTTTACACCCTTCCCATACTCTTGCAATATTCTAAACAATGTTTCTAAACTCTAAATGCTTTAAAAGAGCGTAGAATGTCATGATTTCAGCTCCCTGCCTCTTCTGCTCTTTGCCACCTGCAAGTGTTCTTGGCCACGCCCACTTCTCCGCTCTGCACAGAGAACAGCTGCAGCAGGAAGCTTATCCTGCAGTATGGGCTGCACAAAGGTGCAGGAGGCGCTAAATAATTTAAAATAATTTATTTAAAATAAAAATTCCAATTTCAATCAGCCAATTGTGTGTCACGTCCACTCTTATTTTGAAAAACCGCGATAGAGCGAGTCCGCGATAAACAAACCGCGAAGTAGCGCGGGACTACTGTAAATTTGTTATTTTTTTATTATTGTACTCTTTCAAGTGTTTTTAATAAAAGTTTATTGGCTATAAAATTGACCTAAATAACAAGTTTGTTAAAGCTTTTTTTTTTTTTTTAATAAAGTTTTTGCTCTGATTTAAATGGAAGGTTGGTATTTGGTCAGCAGCTAAATCTTATGAACAGATCTGCAGATTTAATCTCTTGGACATGAGACATGTTGTTGATGGGATGATTTGATTTAAAACTTCTCTAAAGTATATTATAAAAGCATTTTTGAATAAAATTGAGACATGTTTGTACTGGAAAATGGTTCTGATCTAATAAATCTAATCTGTTTTTTGTTTGTTTCAAAGCAATGTTGGATGAAGACGAGGAGGATCGGGTGGATGAAGCAGCCCTCCAGCAGCTTACTGAGATGGGTTTTCCTGAAAGCAGAGCCATCAAAGCTCTTAGACTCAACCAGTAAGTCTGTTTTCATTTAGGTCTTCTGTTTATTGTTTATCAGATTATCCCAAAGTACTAGCTTAATTTTCTGCAGACTTTTACTAAAACAGTGTCAGATGAGTTAATCCCATTCTTGTTCCCTTTTTTAGTGAAACGGTTTCATCCAAATGACGTTTATTTGTTCTTTTGTCTGATCTTCTTGTAGTATGTCAGTAACACAAGCGATGGAGTGGCTGATTGAATATGTAGACGACCCCTCTGCAGACGCACCACTACCAGGGCAGGACTCCTCTGTGGTAGCAGGAGCTGCAGCAGCTACGACCCCAGGGCCTTCAGCCTCAGCTTCAGCCTCTGCTTCTAACGTTTCCCACAACGTCTCCAGGCAGTCGAGCGCAGACGAGAGCAGCAGGCAGGATGAACTCACAGAGATCTTCAAGAGGATCCGCAGGAAAAGGGAGTTCAGACCAGATTCAAGGGTAGATGGTTTCATTCTGTACTTCAGTCTTTAAAACGTATCCTAAAGCCTCTTACTCTTCTGGTTTGCAACAAGGCTGCTTTTTCCACCACGTTAGAAACAGCAATGGGTCTTGAGACGCTCACTGAGATGAGATTACCGTATAAAGAAGCTTTTGTATTTACTCTTGATTCTTTGTTTCTGCAGGCTGTCATTGCATTGATCGAGATGGGTTTTGATGAAAACAAAGTGATTGATGCTCTGAGAGTCAATAATAACCAACAAGATGCTGCGGTAGGTGCTTAAAGTTCTGAAGTATTAATATACTATATATATATATTTATTTATTAATGTATGGGGGAGTGGTGACGCAGAGGTTAGCGAAGGTGGGCCTGTGATTGCCGGTTCACGCCCCGGTACCGACAACATCAAAAAATGTGGGTGGGGTAGTTGAAGAACCCACATTTGCCCTCATTCACCCCACCCTGGGCCCATGAGCAAGGCCCTTAACCCCCATCTGCTCCCTAAACAGGTCTCAGACTACCTGTATAAATAAAGGGTAAATGAAAATATAACCTGCAAGTGTCATCAGATACGTTCACTACACAAGAGTACATGTAAACCGATCCCAGGTCGAGTGTTGGGGGACAAAAGGGGAATAATCAATCATCCAGTTGGATAAATATTCAAGCCAAGCTCCTGGTATTATTTCTATCATTTTAACAAAAAACTTCTTCGTAAATTGTTGTAATATCACTTTCAAGAGTGTGTTTTTATTATAAATTCACTGTTTTAGTCTAAAGTGGTTTGTGTTCTTTTTGTAGTTGTACTTTTATGTGTTCTCTGAGTGTTATATTCTGTGAAGTGTATCGTGTTGGGCACACCATAAATTAAATATTGAGTTTGAAATCAGTCACCTGACAGCCTGTTTGTTTGGGGGAGCGGTGGCGCAGAGGTTAGAGAAGGTGGTTGTGATCGGAAGGTTGCCGGTTTGACTCCCTGGACCAACAACATCAAACTGTGGGTGGAAAAGGTGAAACGCCCACACCTGCCTCCACCCTCATTTGCCCCACTCTGGGCCCTTGAGCAAGGCCCTTAAACACCACCATCTGCTCCTAAACGGGTCTCTATTGAAAATGAGTCCTTGTGACTCAATGAGACTAAAGTTGCGATTTTTGGCTGGAGCCTGACCCGACCCGAAATTTGGGCCAAAATTCTGTGCTTGATGGGCAGGCCGGGCTCGAGCTTCTGTGCTGCGGTTTTACTAATCATACAGCACAAAGAAAACTAAATGAGAATGCACAATATAAAATTGTGTTAATCTACTTGTAGAGGAGGAGTCAGTAAGATTATATGTTGAGGATGAGGAAAGAAATAGTTGCAGCAGTTAATCAGACTGAAAAGAGAGAGTTGCGCTGGTGCATTGCGCAACAATTGCTCACGTGGCCCCGCCCACCCTGCTTTGCTCTTATCACACATCTGAGGATTTGTAATTGACCCACAACAAGCGACATAATGGAGCTGGAAAGTATTAACAAAGGCTAAAAACGGGAGCATAAAAATAATAAAAAAAAATTGCAAACACTCAACCTGTTCTGCTGTTGAATCTGAATTTAAGCATGCAGTTTAAAATATATTATATTAACATCTTTTCAAAATAAAGATGTCCAAGTTAAAATTTTCATTTAGAAATGTACTTGTTCATTGATAAAACATCCCCAAGTACCTCGTAGGATTTTAACTGAACTTGGTAACTTTTCTTGTGTAGTGCCTTGGAATGACTTTGTTTCTTACGAGTAAATAAAACACTAAATAAACCATCTGAACCAAATTGAAAAGAAAAAAGATGCATCTTTTTTTACTCTTTTTATTTCTTTAGGAACCTATAGATATTTTGTGTCAAACTGTTCAACACTCGCTGCTCAGGTGATTCCATTAAAAACCTTTTTGTTTTTACATTCTGCAGTGCGAGTGGCTGCTGGGAGACCAAAAACCATCTCCAGAAGATCTGGATAAAGGCATCGACACCAACAGCCCTCTGTTTCAAGCCATCCTAGAAAACCCAGTGGTCCAGCTGGGTTTAACCAATCCCAAGACTTTACTAGGTATAATCTCATCTACTACAGTCACAAGTCAGGACTGTTTGTAATTATAAATATGACGAATACTCAACCTCATAAAGTTTAATTAGACTGTTTCACATCTTTAACTTTAGCTAACACAACGCAGCTTCAGGATAAAGAGCACAACCTAACCAAACTGATTTAGTCAGTGAGTTGAATTTTACAAAACATCTTTGGGTGCTGCTCAATTAATAATTTTTTTTTAATCTATTAACCTTTATTTAACCAGGCAAGTCCCTTTCAAACAACAGATCATCTAGGAAACTTTGAAGCTTGGTGTCTTGCTAAAGGACACTTTGACATGAAGAGAGTGATCACTACCTCTTAGTTGTCTGGATACGTTGTTTAATAATGACATTTACATAATCATCTTTTAGCTTTGGTGACTCATCTAGTAGCTCATGTTGGCTTTTTACATAATAACTTGTTTCACATTTAGTTAATAAACCGCTAAAATAGAGGAAGATGCAAGCTGAACACTGAGCAATTTCTATGAAACTTTTTTATATATTTAATAACCTTTTAAATTTTGCTCCTTGTAGGCATTACTTTAAAAAATAACTTGAAGAAATATAGTGTGTGCAAAATGTTGATTTCTAAGTAACTAATAAGTGGAAATGGTGTGTACAGAAAATAGTAAAATAACTTCTACATCTATTTAGGAAATGTTTGTACCGTCTTAAAATGTTGGAGTGATTTTTATTTTACTTTTAAATCAGATGTGCTTCAAACAGTTCAAAGAAAAACCAAACAAAATATATTTACTGTATTTTTCATATTAAACGTCGCTCCGGAGTATAGGTCGCATCAGCCAAAATGTCTCACGACGAGGAAAAAAACATCTTTGTCGCTTTGGCGTATAAGTCGCATTTATTAGAGGTGTGTTTCACGAAGGTCAAGAACAGACATTTAATCTGAAATAATGACACACGGAACATATCTGGGATCCTGAACAAGCCGAATCAACATAACAAGCCAACGACTCCGACAAGCAAGTTACCATCCTCGTTGTTGCTGAGTTAGCAGAAGAGGAACAACGTATACCGTATTTTTCGGCCTATAAGTCGTGTTTTTTTGTTTTTTTTGCATAATTTGCATGCCCTGCGACTTGTACGCCAAAGCGACATATTTATGGCTTTTTTCCCATATTTATAAACCAATTTTTGGCTGAGAAATGACCGTTTTCATTCATTCTGACTGAAAATATTGAACAGTACCATTTTCAGCTGCTAGATGGCACTCGAATAGTATGGCATGCCGTTGCATCATGTAATAGGTATAAGTGGCTATTAATGACACAATCAGCTTGCCCCAGCCTGCCACCTTCGTCCAGCTCGCCTGGAGCAACCGTTAAATCCGTTTCATTTCGCTGCGCCGCCCTGGCGAAACGCAGCTAGTTTGACCATTGAAGTGCATTTTATTAAGTAAAAGTTCAACTGAGACGCACCTTTACTATAAAGTCGAGCAAACATATAATTGTTTTTAGGCACTTATCTTGTTAAATTTCCAAGAGATGCACAGCGAGTCCTCCCGTGCATGCTCATACTTCCACGTATTGGCTTTTGAAATGCAGCTGATTTGACCATCAAAGTGCATTTATTAAGCAAAAGTTAGACTGAGGCACACCTTTGCTATAATTTCGATCAACCAAATAATTGTTTTTAAGTGTTAATCTTGTTAAATTCTTGTTAAAGTCAACCCGTACGCGCTCCCGCGGCCGCAATTTGGCAGCCAATCGATTTTTGGCACAACACCGCCCCACATTTCCGGGTTGTCAGAGGTGACGCAGAGCAAACGTAGCGCATCAGTGGTGACACATAATAGATGGTGAAGTGATGCGTTTATGGATTTTTCCACTTTATCAGACATATTGGGACTGATGCGACGCGTACGACGGAAAATACGGAAGTTGTCCAAAGCGTAGAGGGCCCTCTCGTGGCTGCAAATGGTAATGTTTACTCTTTGGTTCATGTCAGTATGAATGAACATTTAACACATCAATCAAAAACTGCATCATGATTAAGGGGGAAAAATGTATATAAGTCGCTTGGAACTATAAGTCGCAGGACTTGCCAAACTATGAAAAAAAATTGCGACAAAGTCTGGAAAATACGGTAATGTAAATCCTAACTATAATTTTCCACGCACTTTTACAGGAGGATTGTCTCATATGTCGTCTCTGAATATTTTATTCCGACAGCTCTCTCATACCCTGACACATGGTGGGCGACTCTGCCTCGTCTGTTTTGGGTGAGAGGAGAGTTGTGTAAATGTCTCATGAGTGTGATATATACTGTGCATGTATTTTTTGTGCGCAGCGTTTGAAGACATGCTGGAGAATCCACTCAACAGCACCCAGTGGATGAACGACCCTGAAACCGGCCCTGTAATGCTCCAAATATCCAGAATCTTCCAGACTCTCAATCGCACATAAAAGCCTTCTGGTGACTCCTGTGTGATTGCTGCAGAGTGTGTGTATGTGTGTATGTGTGTGTGTGTGTGTGTGTGTGTGTGTGTGTGTGTGTGTGTGTGTGCATGTGTTCAGTCAGACTGGAAATTTAGGTATGAATGTGACAGAGTATGAGTTTTTTTGTTTGTTTGCTTTTTTGGCCTTGTAAAGACAAATCAAAGGATTATGAATTCTGAGTTGTTACACTATTTATAACTAACGTATATAGTAAACGCGCTTATATAAAACAAATATTACAGTAATGTAAATTCAGATTTAATATGTTTTACAGTTTATTGATGACAATTTATAGGTCTGACGGGACATGATTTATTTTATATCATTTCTCCACATGCAGAAATGACATCAGTTTAATGTTTACACTTCTGAAATAAAATGTTTTTGTATGATTTAAAATATTTAAATATTAATTACAATTCTGTATATCCCTTCAAATTGTTACATTTCATTCATGGTGAACGTGTGGCAGACTTCCATCACTGTCGCGCGTTGTTTTCTGTCCTTGTCGTCTTTGCTTCAAAACTGCGGGTTGTTATTCGAGTCGAGTTGTGGTGGAGCTGTTTGGAAACGGGTTGCCTCTCTTCGTTCACACCTGTGAGGTCACCGCGAGTCACCTGCCTCTCACTTTAAAGAAGAGCATTTGTCTTCTTAAAATCGTATTTAACTTCTTTGCCTTTTTAGAGAAAAATTGTACTCTGAACTGTACGTTTGTCCTGATTTTACAAGATGTTACTGTACGCCTGCGTGTTTATTGTCAGTGTTAACTTGAATGTCATCATGTGCTCATTTAGCACGTGTTCACCGTTTTGAATACTGCTCACTGCAGCACAGAAGAAGGGTTTAGTTTGAAATGGGATTTTAAAATGGAGCAGAGCTGGAACAAAAGGGGTTTGCCTTTTTATTGACTTTTAATTTGAATGATGATAATGTATGTTCAGCTCATGCAGATGAGGTACAAGCATCCTAACTCACCTTTAAGTTTAGATATAACCTGTGTAGATGTAAAGCAATGAACATTTTACGCTGTCAACCAAATCAAAATGTTCCTGTATACATGCCTTGTCACTAGTTATATCCAAGGGAGGGGGAAAAAAAAAAACAATTTCTGTGCAATAATAGTGACTTTTTTTGACTTATAAAGACGTATATCTGATCTGAGTATTAGGATTTTTGATCTGAAAGGGTTGACGTGTTCTACAATATTAGCCTTTGCATTGAATACTAAAAAAGTCTCCTGCTCTGTTGGGGATGTTTGGATCCAATAGTCAAGACTTTAAGAATCAATATAGAGCGTGGTGGGTTTTATTTATTAATTTTTTTCCTTGCCAAGCTTTTGAGTGTTTTTATTCTATATTGAAAACAGTACTGATGTGACTTTCTGCTCAGGGAGGCTTAGATTGTTGTCATGGCAAACCCCTGCCCAACCCCGTCTGGCTTTAACTAATCTCTCTAGATCGAACCTCGTTATTGAATAAGAACAGTTCAAAACCTGCTTTCATACATGCAATATTTGAAAATATTTAAACTTTTTTTTGTTTGGGGTTTTTTTTTTTTTTGGAGAGAAGTGTTTGTTTGAACTATGTTTTATTACGTCATTTATATTAAAGCCAAACTAGTTACTTGATCTTACTTATATTTTTAGCAAACCTTAAAGCTAATCTTCAAATGTGAAAAAAAAAAAAAAAAAAAAAAAGCTTCCAATTGTTTTTACAAACTATTTTAAACATGTGCTTAATTTAAAATTGGTGGCTTAGTGTGATTTCAAGTGGTGCAACATGTTTGATCAAAGATTGAGTTTTACACACGTCTCTGGAAGCCTCTCGGCTCTTAAATGAACCTTCATCATGTTGTTGTGAATCAGTCATTGGGACATTGTGCACTAACGGGGAAAAAAATCTACAACAAATAGACATTTTTCAGAAATACTTAGCCAAAACCAAAATGATCAAAGCGAACTTAATTGCCTTTGGATACTGAAGATAACAACGTTGGAATCATCTGTTATTTCACTCCACTATCAGTGCAACACTGTCCCCGATCAACAACCTATGCAATTTACCCAACGTCTGTTTTATTTTATTTTTTTACATCCTCATGGCTATTGGCATCTAAAGCATCTTCACATTAAAGTTCTTTTACGTGGCTGCATTCACTGGATTTTGTTTGGACTCTGTTTATGTGGGGATGTCACTGGGAAGCAGTGTATAAATGTCGTTAAGAAGAAGGAATGACCTTTATTGTCCCTCAGTGGGAAAATTCAGGTGCACCAGCATCAGTTGCTGGGAGGAAGGACCTGTGATAACGCTCCTTTGTGCACCTAGGATGCAGCAGTCTGTCACTGAAGGAGCTCTCCACTTATGTTCCAGCTTCATGCATGTGCTGGGAGACATTGTCCAACGGTGTTATTAGAGTTCTTGTGTCTCCCGTCACCTGCACTGGGTCGAGGGGGCATCCTAGGGCAGAGCTGGCCTTCCTTATGAGCTTATCTAACCTCTTCCTTGTTGTAGATAAGCTGCTGCTCAAGCAATCTACACCACAGAAGATGGCTCATGCCACCACAGAGTCAAAAGGTCTTCAGGAGCACCCCCTGAACTCCAAAAGACCTCAGTCTGCTTAGCAGGTAGAGTCTGCTCTGATAAATGCCGTCGGTGTCGCTCCAGTCTAGTTTATTATTCAGGTGAACACCCAGGTACTTGAGTCCATTATCCCAATATCAGCTCCCTGGATGTTCACCGGTGTCAAGTGTGGGAGTCTGCATCTGCAGAAATCCACCAGCTCTTTGGTTTTCCCCTCATTGAGGAGGTGGTTCCGCTGGCACCAGTCCACAACGTCCTGTCTACACTGTGTACTCCTTGAGTCGTTCACCTGTGATGCAGCCGACTATGGTCGAGGCATCCGATAACTTTTGCAGATGGCAGCCTTGGGAATTGATGGAGAAGTCTGCAGTGTAGAGGGTGAACAGGAGCGGTGCCAGCACTGTGCCCTGTGGGACCCCCATACTCTCAGGGACATAGCCCTGTGTCCTCACATACTGTTTGCAACCAGTAAGGTAGTCCAGTATCCACTGGGACAGGTGGTGGTCCACTCCTGATACCTTCAGCTTGTCCCTCAGAAGTCCAGGCTGGATGGTATTAAAAGCACTGGAGAAATCAAAGAACAAGATCCTCACAGTGTTTCCAGGTTTCTGGTGGGTCAGAGCTCGGTGTAGGAGGTAGATGATGGCATCATCCACCCAGATGACGAAGACCGCACCAGGGGCAGAAGATGGTTGAGGACCAATCTTTCAAGGTACTTCATCAGATGCAAGGTCAGTGCTACTGACTTGTAGCTGCTGAGGTCCTTTGGATGTGTGGTCTTTGGCACTGGTACCAAACTGGTCGTCAGTCACAGCGGTGGTACTTTCCCCAGCTTCAGGCTTATGTTGAACATGTATCCCATCATGCCACCGTTGATCTGCGCAGCACCTCAGGAGCCTGCTGCTGATGCCACCTGGACGTGCTCATTTTTCACAGCTCATTCCTCATCTGAAGTGTTGAAATTAAGTAAATGAAGGTTTTATTAAGAAAAAATATATAGTTTTCTTTATTTCCCCTGTATTTATCAAAAGACTACAAAAGTCTTTGTATATTTTGTTTGTAAGGAGTAAGAATTGTTTTTTTTTTAATTTACCCTTTATTTATCCAGGTAGTCTCATTGAGCCATGAGAACTCATTTTCATGAGAGACCTGTTTATGGAGCAGATTGTGGGGTTGAGGGCCTTGTTCGGGGGCCCAGGGTGGGGCGAGTGAGGGTGGAGGCAGGTGTGGGTGTTTCACCTTTTCCACCCACATTTTGATGTTGACGGTACTGGGAGGTGAACCTGCGACTTTCCGATCACAAGCCCATCTTCTAACTTCTGCGCCACCACTCCCCCCCTTTTTTGCTTAAAGTTGATAATAAAGATACTATAATTAATTTAAAAAAAATTGAAACCAAATCTGCAAGTAAAAAAATACACCAAAAAAAATCATTCATGTAAAGTCGGAACTTGAGTCAGTTCTAGCTTGTTTCCCAGATAATGTCTGCAATATTTTTTGTTTGTTTTGCATCTGCTGCAGTGCAAGGTTTATGTTATTTCAGAGCACTTTTATCCCCAGAAATGAAGAAAACATGTTTGCCTAGATTTCCAAGTTGTGAACATGTCATTAGAAGAAACTGACATGATATAGCTGCAGCATTTGCCTCATTTTCTTAATTGAGCGTCTGGACCAGCAACAGGAGCATAGCTAGAAGTTGCTCCTTCTTACAAGATTTTGATCTTTTTGGAACACTTCGATGAACCTGCCTGATGTACCCTGACCTTCCTAAATACTTTACGAGCTGGTATCTGAAGCACATTCAGTTCAAGTTGTTTTCTGAACCAGGAGTAGAGTAGAGTAGTGAATGTACTACATAATCAACAGGAATGCACGTAAAGAGTGATATGACATCAGAGGAGACCATTGTTTCATCAGTCTCCATGATGACATCTCTCACCTTATCCACAAAGTCTATGGTGTTCTGTAACTGCGTTACACCGGTGAGTTAATCACCTCAAGACAATTGGTCTTACAAGGTACACCTTGTTTGTGAATTTTGGTTAAACCACACAGACTAGGCAGAGGAATTCTTCTTGGTACGACCGCAAAGTTCAGTCCCCTGGCGAGGATCTCTGTCTTCGGCTGGGTGATCTGTCTGTCGGATAAATTCTTCACCCACTTCTCTGTTTTCCTGGCATGTGACTGTCTTCCGGTGTGTTGTCTGTCATGATTGGCTTGACGAGTTGCCAGTAAATTAAACTTCTTTTGTTGTCTGGTCTTAGACTTGACATTCTGTGCTAAGCATGTCTTCTGTGAAATCAAATTCTATGCTTGAGCAAATTAGTATAACTAGTAATGAAAGTCTTGCTAATTTGTCAAAACAACCAGTGTGATCGATGGATATGATATCCACCAGACCACTAACAGCTTGAAGCATTTTTTTGTTCTTTATTTTCTGAAAACGTTCAAATGTTTTTCAGCACATTGCTGCACTAGATGTCAGCATTGTGCAATGTGACTAATGACCACAGACTGCTAATACAAGCACCAAATATAAAGTACAGTATTATTTGTTATTTTCATATAATATCTTGAAACAAACTAAGTTTCTCTTATTTATGTGAGTGTTTATGGAAATTTAGCAGTCTTGTTCAAATTCAAGTAGGTTTATTGTCATTACCGTCACATGTGGCACATGAGGTGGAATTAAATTATGTATATAGGGTCCCAGTTACATCCAACAATAGCAAAAATATAAAGTGTAAAAAGAAACGGTAAATATGGATAATATATACACTAAGATATGCGCTAAACTATGCCAAACACTAATAATGCAAAACAATACGGCGTAATAAATAACAGCAGCCCAAACACGAGTCTGTGGTGAGCGGATGGGTACGAATGAATACAGCAGCTTAAAATAATCAGCAGCATGAGGTCAGCAGTATGGATAATCAGCAGTTTGGATAATCAGGATAATCAACTGTGGCCTTTGGCACTGAACCTTCTGAGCTGGGCCGGATTTTAGCAGGGGCTTACAGGGGCTGCAGCCCGGGGCCCCGGCATTTCAGGGGCCCCGAAGGATGTTTTATGTTTTTGTGAATGGATAGTGTCAGAATTTAATCAATGACTGATGATTTTGACGGCACCGATGAAAAATGTTCCAATTTGTTCTGGAAAATGTCCATCTTGAATGCTTGCTTGTTATTGGTCCACTTTTGACGCATCTTACGCATTGGGGAGGAGCGTCAGGGAATATTATTTTACAATGGCAGACAACAGTGTTTGTGGTTCTAGTTCCTCCAAATAAGATGAATGCAGAAGTGTCATTAATAAATGGAAATCTGTATTTTGTTCTTCATATTTTTCAAGATGTTCTCTGTAAAAACCTTGGTCTATATGTATATATATGTATGTATACATATATGTATATATGTATATATATATATATATATATATATGTATATA